TGGACATGAGGTCTAAGCAGAATCACTTTTAAAAAGTAGTCATTCACTGTAAATTGTCTGTCTAAATCATCTCAAGAACTTAGAAATTTCGCAACTAAGAATATCGACATTTCTTAATCTCTCTTGTTTTGTTTTTGTTTAATTTCCACGGCAAGCCGGTAGTCGCGAATGCTATCATGCATTGAAGAGCAGTTCGCCGGCAACCCCGTTGTCAACGCTGTTCAGAATGTGTTATGAGACCTTCCTGTCTAAGGAAAGGTCATATACCCGGAACGAAGGATTGGAGAGCCAAATTGAGGGATTGGTGATTGCGAATTTATTGAATTAATTTGCCTTGACCTCTTGCACTGATTTTCATTCATATCTCAGGTGGGTTAAAACGAACTGCAGCCAGATAACCTGCGCATCAGGGAGCAACCAGCATTTGGCTGGTTGCACCGAACCGCAGAGGGGCGAATTCATTGCCCAAGGGAATTAGCAGTTAATAAGCATACGCTTCTGCTGCACGTGAAAACCTGGTACCTCTGAAGTTCAGAGCAAACCGCCAAGCCACTGCGCCTGACTTAATCTTGAGCAAAAGGATGAAAAATGTTTGGCTGATATCGATCTTAGACTCGCGAGCAAGAAGGGCACAAGATTCACCAGATGTTTTATAAATTATGCCAGAAAATGCCATTCCCCCATTGCGTTATTCGGAGGACTAAGACTTGAAAAATCTGGGTATCAACGTCAATCAGAATTTGACGTTTGTTTTTATCATTCGATTTGGACATTCTTATATCCAGTTCAACTGTGATAAATAAAATATTACGTAGCAGAAATACATTTGCCATTTCCTTCATCCATACAGTAAAAACCACGTACTGTCAGAATGAAAAATATTGAGATGGGCTAAAAATGCGAACCTCACGCAATCTAACACGGTAGTAATATGAGGCTCGGTGGCACAGTGCTTAAGAGGTCAGATTTGAATTCCGGACGTTGTAGGATCGAATCCGATGAAGGAGCAGTTTTTGTCATTTCTGTGAATTCCCTGAGCAATGAATTAATTCTATGGGTAACAGATCGTGGATTTGCGAGTGATCGAGACAGTGAGGCACTCCGGACTGGTCGCGTCGGAACGAACCGGGTCCATGGCCATGTCGTGAGATGCGACCGTCGCCTGTGGCTCCACGATCCCTTGACCCTTCTGATAGCAGACTATCTAGAGTAATAATCAACACAAGGCCTAATCCAAATTTCGAGTTGAACATCAGCGAACATAACTGCTTTATATGAATAAACCGAAAAGCACTGCATAGTCTGTTTCCTGGTCTATCACATTCCAATTTTTCACTGTCAGCTGCGATCGTCGGAATCGTTCCCGCTGAACTTATCCTGACTTGCCATAGCGTCATCGGTTGTGTACCTTCCCTGTCAAAAACGGGTAGCGGCTCGTTGCATTTTCATCGTCTTCTTGCCCACCTAGGGCAGCGTATTATTTAACATTTATAACTTTTCACGATAAGAAGACAGAATTAAATATGATTTTTTATTGATCGTTCGTCTTCTGAGAGTACCGGTATTGCAAGGTAAACGTTGCACGACTTTTTTTATTACTGACAAATTTAACGGGTTGCTAATTGCTATTTTGTAGGATTAATTTAATATACTTTATCCATTCCGTAAGAAGTTGGTCAATGCTGAGTTTCAGAGCTCTGTCTGTTGAAGTTGCAACTACTGATGTTCAATTATTCACGTGATCATGTATATAACGTTCTAGTTGTTTATCAGTGTTAATGATAAGTCTTATTTTTAAGCAGTATCGCAGTTAACCGTACTACTTCTATGCTATTCTTTAGCACGACTACCAACTAATGAACGAAATGTTCAATCATTTAGTAAATAAGCCGTGTTCGTTGTTTAGAATTTGCATGCTTGGAGACCGTCTGCTTAAGAAGGCCGTTCTTGGGTCAGGCAACATCACTTCCACCTGTCAAAAGACCGAGAACGGCTCTTTGTGGAATTTGTACTGCTCGCTGAATACCACCACCAATGTGTCGTACTGCGACCCGTATTTTACCAATAACGAGGTGCGTGTGATTCCCGGCGTCCCGGGATTCTCAGCCGAGTTGTTCAGCAGCAACTCTCGGTCGAATTACATGCTCGCAGGGGAGGTGTTGCCGGGCGTGGTGGGAAACGCGGCAGCCGAAGTTGTGCAGGACATCACGACGACGTTTTTTGAGCTACTGGCCATCCACTTCCCGGCAGTGACCGGAATATTGACTGGCTGCAATATGTCAGGTGATGATCACGCTGAGATTGTCAAAGCATCATAACCTCAATCATTTATTGCCTGTTTTTTTATTGAGGTCAGTGAAGAGTTAATTTACCAGGTTTTAAGATAATTAGATAGTAGCAATTTACTTTCAAATGTTTGAGTTTCCCTTTCGATTTTGGTTCCATGCAGAATAATTTTTTTCAAATGATAATTACGTAACGCGCTATCATGTACTCGCTATCATATACTTACAACTATCAACTAGCTTGTAGTTGGAAGAATAGTTTTTCCCAGGAAAATTTCCTCGCACGGTGTGAGAAATTCGTCAAGCTTCATTTACAAACCCTTTCGCTGCCTGTTACAGATTCTGATGACGGCTGTAAGATCAGTGGGCCATTAACTATGTTGCCTACTTCTTCTGAGAATAGGATGATGAGATGTTGTTCCTAGATATGAAAAGACGTTTGATTATCAATTATGGTGTCTCGCCCCATTCCTGTGAATAAATTCCATCAAGTTTAAAACGTACGTCGAAAAGTTTGAAAGAAGATAAATAAGTGTTTATAACCGTAAAAATGTGACTTTCCATATCTTCCCATAAGAGATATGAGTTATACGGCACGGTGCTGAATTTGGACTAGACGATCTAAGTAAATAACGCCCTGTTTTATGTAGCACATACAATCAAAAATATTTTGCAGTATTGTTTCCTCCCTTGCTTCCTTACTTCTTGGCCGAAAGGAAGAAACTAATTCACCATTGAACGCCACTCTCTTACCAGTCGAGAGTTCACTGATTGATTTCCATTAACCAGTGGAGCTTGGTTCACTAAAGTGTACTGATTGAATTATCTCTCTCTCTCGACTCAACGACAATGCCAGTGTCCTGAACTGTACATAAGGACAACTAAGCGTAAAATGATCAAGCGTAACGTTGAGGAACTGAGTTCCTCAACATTTCTGAGATCATCGCAATGAGTCATTTTAGTCAAACAAAACCTCTGCGTTGCGAA